ACTCCTTTCCTAGTGGCTATCGGTTCACTTAGATCACTGGGATCAGATACATTGGGATCAGATAGGGGTTCAGACTCAAGAATAGGATTATTAATTTGAGTATTACCTGGAGTGATGCTCAGGTTAGGGACTGATTGTGCAGTAGTGAGTTGTGGAGTAGTCCCTTGCCTCTCTTTCCTTCTAGTATAAACACGGAGTTCAGTAGTTGGTGCCATGTTTCTAATAATTGCAGAATCCATTTGAGGAGTAGAATTAATTGTTCTAGCAAGGTTGTCATAAGCTATCTCAGTCTTGTCATTAAACATAGGAATAGGAAGTAGAGTACAATTCCAAAACTTATCTTCATTATGTTCTAAATTCTTCCCCGGAAGAGAAGTTTTCTCAAAAAAGGTTGATTTTCAAAAAATGTGACATCCACGCTAACAAACATTTTACCGAGCTCACATCAAAGCACTTGTAACCTTTTTGAGTGTTTGAAAAACCTAAAAATATACATTTGATAGCTCTAGGATCCAATTTGCTGCGATTAATTGCATGGTTGTGAACAAAACTAGTGCAGCCAAATATCTTAGGAGATAATTCTGTGAAAGACCTATTATGGGGAAAACAAGTCTGTAGAGTTTTCAAAGGAGTTTGATAGCCTAGAATCTTGCTTGACATCCTATTTATTAGGTATGGAGCATGGAGTAAGGCTTCTCCCCAAAATATTTTTTTAACATTCATAGAAAACATTAAAGCTCGAGTTATTTCTAAAAGATGTCTATTTTTTCTCTCGGCAATTCCATTTTGTTGAGGTGTAATTACACAAGAACTGTGATGGATTATGCCTTGCCCAACCAGAAAACTTCCAAGGATTTGATTGAAATATTCTCTGCCATTATCAGTTCGAAAAACTTGAATTTGAGACTGAAACCGAGTTTTGATCATAGAATTAAAGTTTTTTAAATGTTTCAGCAGCTTCAGATTTTTCTTTAAGAAGGTAAATGCAAGTATTTCGTGTGTGATCATCAATAAATGTAATAAACCATCTTGCACCAGAATGAGTTTTGACGCGAGATGGCCCCATATGTCACTGTGAATTAGGGCAAATGGTTTAGATGGCATATAATTTAAAGAGGGATAAACAGATCTTTTGTGTTTAGCCAATTGACAAATTTTGCATTGAAAACCTTCAACATCTTTATTTTTGAATAAAATAGGAAATAAATGTTTCAAATAACCAAAACTAGGATGGCCTAATCTATAGTGCCATAACATTATTTCATTCTCTAAGGATAAACAACTAGAAGACCATGGTTTCTGAACTTGTTTACGCTTAAGGTTGTCTGAGGCAAAGTAATAGAGTCCACCACTTTCTTGTGCACTACCAATCACCCTCCCCGAGTTGTTCTCCTGAAAAACACACTCAGAAGAAACAAATTTGACATAACAATTAGAATCACTGGTTATTTTACTGACCGACAAAAGGTTACATGAAAGATTAGGCACATGTAGGACATTGGTTAATGTGAGTAAAGGAGAGAGAAATAATAGATCCTTTTCCAGCTATTGCAGACAAAGAACCATCTGCAATTTTAACTTTTTGATTACTAGGACATGGATAATATGTGGAAAACATATATGGGGATCCTGTCATATGGTCTGTGGCCCCTGAATCAATGATCCGAGGATCAGATTTATCTAGTCTAAGATTAAATGCTGCTGCATATGTACCTTTTTGGATCAATGAGGATGATGGATTGGATGAGTTGGGATTAAGGTTACTAGCAAACTGTTGTGTACTCAGTATACGACACAATTGCTCTAGGTTTTCCTTGATGGAAGAGTTGTCACTGGAGGATTGATAGACATTTGATTCTTCTGAAGAAACCTGGAAACCACCTCTGGAATTGTGCTGTGACCTATTTGTTGGTGTAAAGTTAGCTGGTTTGCCATGTAACTTCCAACATTTAGCTTTGATATGCCCAATCTTGTGACAGTAGTCACAAACAGGTCTGTTCTCTTTCTTTTGAATTAGTTGAGGTGACAATTCTGGCTTCTCATCGGCTTTTGAAGTGACTAGTGCTACCGTTTCAGCATTTGATGAAATTTCAGCATCAAGCATCACATGCCTACGGCTTTCTTCTCTCCTAACTTCTGCAAATGCTTCTCGTGTGCTGGGCAGTGGGTCTTTTCCAAGTACTCAACCTCGAACTTCATCAAGTTCCTTGTTTAGTCCAGCCAGAAAGTCAAAGGCCCTCTCCTTCTCAATGGCCTTTTTATATAATGCACTATCTGTTGCGCATTTCCAGGTGTAGTTGCAAAACAGATCGTATTCTTGCCACAGAGTGCTCAGTTCAGTGTAGTACTGTGTGACACTCTTGTCTCCTTGCCATGTTTTATTTAATTGATTCTTGATCTCAAATTGTTGGTTGAGTGATCAGTGGCTCTGATACCATATGAGTTAAAAATGATCTGACTGATCTATCTTTCATTCACACGGATCTGATCTAAATAGAGTACAATCTAATCAACTAACTCCTAGAAAATAGGATCTATGCTAATAATATGCTAACAATATTGACTAGTTACAACAGACCTCTAAAATACATGGGACTTATCTAAATACGTATTTATCCTATTATTTAACAAGAAGTATTACAAAAACGCCCCCACCCTCTAAAATTGGTGCCCTAGGCACTTGCATAGGTGTCTACGCCCTATGGACATGTCTGGCTCTCACTTATCTAGTATGTCGTTTTCTTACTGCATGATATATTCCCCTTTTTTAATACGAAGTACTCCGTATATCTTAGAATAACATACATAATAATGTCATCTTAAATTTAAATATGTTTTATTGCCTTCTAAATAAGGATGAAAATGCTTATATTTTTAAATTTTTAGTGTAAAAAATTATGTGTAAATTTTTTCCTAAAAAAATTCTTTATATCGGTCCAGTCCGACCCATTACCCTGACTCTGCCCCTGTCGCTAAGAATATGGGGTGGCGATGGGTGAGATATTTCCAACCCGCTAGAATATGGGCCAGTTGATGGGGAATGCTATATCCCTGCCCCGCCTCGCTATATACACACAATTATACAAATACATACATATATATGGGATATAAACATCTATAACTATTATTGTATTTTTATATAATATTTCTTACCAAATTAACCCTATATCCTAGTTTTTTTATTGTTGAAAAGACTACATTTATTTAAATGTTGGATCAAACAATAGTATTGTACAATAACTTAAAAATAGAACAATTTTAAGTTATTGATCTAAATAGGATCAGAACAATAAAAAAGTTCCAAAATAGGACTCCTTGTTGAATTATTCCCGATATAGGAGTTTTAAATTGACTGGGTCGTACCTAATTCCCATAGTACCCCCACTTTACAGCTAGCTTCAACTTCAATTATTTATTTTGTCAGACTACCTGTACCGCATTTCAATCCCACGTTTCATTTATCTCCTCTAGCTTTTCTTCTCCATCACTCATCCATCTCCAGATCTCTTCGATTTCTCCATCTCCAGATTTCTTCGATTTCTCCATCTCCAGATCTCTTTGATTTCTCCATCTCCAGGGTGTAATAAAGGTTTGGACTGGGATTTTTTCTCCTCAACTTCAGCCATCGGCGGACGAAAGCGATTTAGGTAAGTAAATTTTGATCTCTTCTTTTTCTTCTTCTTCTTCCTTTTCTTGTTCCTCTTCTCCTCCTTCCTTCCTTTTCTTTTCCTTTTTCTTCTTTTCTTCCCCTATCCCTTCGTTTCCTTCAATCTGAGGCAGAGCCTCTATTTCCTTTTTTTTTTACAATGTGAAGCTTTTATACACTATTATGACTTAATTATGACCACTTTTAAATTGATTTTTGGTTTACTTTGTTTTCCCTTTTAGATCTGAATTGAACTTATCAAGATTTTTCTATATTGCTTTCTTGTTCTTTTAATTTTTTATTTTATCTTTTATAATAAGATAATATTTTTTCTCATTCGATCATGTCAATTAAATTTTTGTACCTCTTCAAATTAATTTTTTTTATTTAAATTTCCATAATTGCTAGTTTTTATGGCATTAAAATGAAAATATAACTTCTTTGGAAAACCAATACTATTAATGCCATATTTTTCTGTTCTTCTATGTGACCATATTATTTTTGACATTTAATGCCATTTTTATAACACTAATATCATCAATATGGCTACTAATGCCATGTTTTTGCTTATATAAAATAGGAGTACATTATTTTCACCTATAGTGCCATTCACATGGCATTAAATCTGTTATAACACCATATTTTCCTGTTTTTCTATGTGACCATATTATTTTGACATTTAATGCCATTTCTATAACACTAATTTCATCAATATGGCTACCAATGCCATGTTTTTGCTTATATAAAATAAGAGTATATTATTTTCACCTATAATGTCGTTCATATTGCTTTATTTTAAGATAGACATTTTAGACACTCCTTCCATTAAGCTAGTTTTAAGGCAACTGTGGTCCTGTGGAGATGGTGACGGAGGCCCCTTGTGGTGGCAGTGTTTGGTGGTGACGGAGGCGCCTTGTGGCGGCAGCGCCTGGTGATGACGGAATCTGACAGAGGTGACAGTGATGACGTTAGAGGCGGCAGCCAAGGTGGAAGAGGCGGCGCCAGCAATGAAATGGGCGGTGGGGACAGGTGGTAGAGCCACCGACGGCTACGGCGGATGACGCGGCGGCGGATGATGGGCCGGCGGCGTGAGAGTGGGTGTTAGTTGGTCCTAGGGTTGTGTCTTTGATTATCTATTGTATTGTTTGTTTTTTATATTTTGATTTAAATTATTAATAAACAATTGTGCTTGAGATTTCATTAAGGGCATTGATGTAGGTCACCTCTTTTTTACTCCTACTAAACCTCACGGGAAATTAAAGTCCTATTTGTGCATAATTCTTATTTTGCAGGTAATTATCTCAACAATTTTAAACCCCAACCCCTCCTTCGGCTCCTTGTTGCCATCTGTAATTCTAAATGAGTGAATTCCATGTAATAGTGGTATCCATTGTAGAAGTTTTTTCCTTAAAATGATGGATGTCTCATTTCTTTTTCTTTTCCGAACTGCTAAATCCCTTCAGGCCTTGAGGCCTTGTCTATTTTTTTTCTCTGTTTCCTTCAATGGTTAACGGAGTACTCCGTATATTTAATCATTCAGAAATGAGAACTGCACTCTTAAGTTTGAACTGCGCTAAGATGGAAGTGGTATCACTGAACAACCTCACTCCGCTGAAAACAGATGCGCAGCTCCGGAATTCTCGCCCAATCCCATCTTTCCGGCATCATCTCACCGTCAAAGCTTCTCTTAACCAATCTCAGGTAACCAAATTGCTTTTTATTTATTACTATGAGTGTCGAATCTTCGTTCTATATTTCTGTCGGTGAAAATTTCAAGGAAGGAAGTTACGGAGGGCCAAAGCCGAGGAGGGAATGGGTGGCTGATTGGGTGTCCAACAAGGACGGGGCCGTTCGGAGTGTGCCGGTATATGTTGGGGGGGTCTCTTTATTGGCCGTTCTCGTCAATCGGGCCGTCTCCGGCATTGCGCCGGTCGCTGATGCCAGCAGGTCAGTCCGGCCACTTCACCTTTACATGTCAGCGCTGTTGTTTTATGTAATTATTTGATTATTATTTGATGCTTAATTTAAGTTTTATTTAAACCTCCTCCCAACCGATAACGGCATCTATGGTTGTTTGTTTTCTTTCTGGGATGTGTTAATGAGAAGATTAATATGAAAAGGGAAATATCATATTTTTCAAAAGATTCCTGTGTATACATCACATTGTGTGATAAGTGATCGGGTCAATAATCTCCTACCGCAGTTAGATGTGCAATCATGTGAATAGTGCATTCTAAAAGGGATCTAAATAGTGATGATTCCCTTGATCTTGGCTATAGAAATAATCGAATAATATTAAAATTTGTCAATAACTCAAGATCAGCCAGCTTGGTGGCTAGCACTTTATTGACTTAGGGCATTCAGCGATGCTTGAAATATGGAACTTTTGAATTGCATGATGTGGCCACTGATGTTCTAGCATAGGTGTTGGTGAGTGTGGTATCTGTTTACTAAATGTTTGAGAGGAGGAAAGGAAGGGAATGTGGAAAGTGACCAAGAGCCAATAATGGAGTTAATGAGCAACTGGTCTGGACACATCCACTGAAGGAGCATGTTTGGACAATTAAACTGCTGGAGCTGTTGCTGTTGCTGGATAAGCTATTTCAAGTTGGCAGGTAGCAGGACGCTTTTCCATTGACGTAACTCATACAGTCATATCAAAGATATTTTGAAACTGAAATTACCAAGTTGGTGGGCGGCAGTCAGTCTGGGAGAAGATTGCCCCATGAAATTAATAGTGACCAGTTGTTCTTCTGACATAAATTCTTTTGGCCAGTGTTGTTTTCATAATTGGTATAATGGTGGTATGTGCTTACATATTTGGGAACTGTAGAAGAGATTAAGGAACAACGAATTGCTATAGACCATATTTAGATGTGCTGGATTCAGAATACCATGTAAAGATAATATGAAAACAGAAATGATTATATATTCTTCATTTATTCATGAACTTCCTGTATGGCTGCATAAATAGTATTTGGGTGTTTGGAGCAAGCCAACAATCCCTTTCCATGGTGTGATGTGTGATTAATTATATATTCATATACAGTAAACATGTTCATTCCTTATTGTTCTAGACCTGATTTTGTAAACTGATGCTTTTCGAATTAATTTGGATGATAAAACGGATAAATTTCCATTGGACTATAAGATATTCTGTTTGTTATTTGATTTGTGTTATGAAAGGGGGAAAATGATTTGGTTGTAAATTAAAGAGTTTTATTATGATAATAGGGGTATTGATCAATGGTTACTATACTATAGAAATGAAAAAATTGACAATGTTTGATAATTGATATACTTTAGTTGCGAGCAGCTCTTCATTGAACTACTGTTGGTTAAGGTTTAAATTTCTAATATATAATCAAGGAAATATAATAAGGGGAAATAAGTTCTTTTTTTTGGAATTTTCTTTTTCCATGGGGCTGAGCTTCCAATCATATAACACCAGTATGTACTTATGTGCATCATGTGATTTCCAATTATTCACTTTAAGAACATTGTTGGACATTTTGAAGCTCTTTTGGGTGTGTTTAATTTCTTGACAATTATCGGACTCTTGATACTATTGCCTTACGACATATTGACATATCACAGTTCACAATCCAGAGCAGATTTGTTAACAATTGGATTGGCTGTTACCAACATCTTGAATGGTCTTGTGTGGCTCTCCATCAAACCAAAGTCAATATCTGTTGTGAGTGACCAAAGTTCTGCTACAATTTGAGCGTATTCCTATTGCTTGTTGAATTTGTCCTGGGTCAGCCCAAAAGAATCGTCAAGAGGTGTAGTACTTATATACCAAACTCAAACTTATGATATTCAACACATCCCATCTTTAGCTCAAGCCTAACTGGACAACTGAAGGGGTAGAAAAAATGCGTCCAAAGTGACCCCCAAACAGGCTGCCCTACACATATAATACTAATTTAAAAAGAAATTGCTCACAATAGGACTAAAACATGGACAATGTGCAAAAATAGGAGTAAGTGTATATTTCCCAAATAGGACTTGTTCAATCATATTAAAAGAATAAAACAGTAAATACTTTCCAAACTAGGAGTGAATGAGTCCTATTTGGGGAAGAAAACAATGACAGTCCTATTTGAGGAATCATGCTATGTTTTATTCCTATTTAGGGAATTTCCTCTGATTTAGTTGGGCTTAACTCATGTCACAAGGATCCAAACGGGATGTGTTCTTCAAACATATATGCTGGACTCGAATTCAGTAGAGAATCCATGTAAAAGTGGTTTGGCCTCTTCCTGCCTTTGGCAAGGTTGAAGAAGATGAAGACCAACCTCTTGCTGTAAAAAATGCACTAGCTAATTCTTGTCCTTCCTGAGCCTCGTATACCCACAATCTGCATCCTTGTCCAACGCCCCATGCCAGCGGTGCAAAGGACGCCAAATGGTTGGATACACACCAATATTACACCTACTGATATTTTAAGCTTGATGGTTTCAGGAAGATCCTACAGGTGTGGATTGCCAAAGAATTGCTTCTGGTGTTCCTGCGCTTGTAATTTCTGAATTGCTTTGGTACTTGCCTGATTGTTAAAAAGATCCCATGAATCGTTTTGTTCTGTTTGTATGCCTGGTTTGTCCTGGCCTTTGAAATGAGGGCAATGTGGAATCCTAAATTGTCCTATCCTTTCTTTTTTGACTCTTCATAGGGCATGGGATTCACTATCAAATGTGACATGCTGCAGGTCTCTAATTATTGTTTATGATAGCAAATGTATCTTTCAAATGGGAATTTCTTCTGTCTCTTCATCTGATGGAGCAATCCCTGTTGATGCTAAAAAACTGATGCAAGGGTCACTTTATCAAGATGTTATGAAGTCTAGATCACGTAAGTGTATGCAGCATAAATTGTAAAACACTCCCCCCCCCAACTTTTGCTCCATTTCCCTTGTAATGTTGTATAGGGGCAGGTTGGATCCTGGAGAAAGTAGGGAAAGAAAACTCAACAAATTTATTTTAGATATTTGTTGATTCTCATTTTTTATGTCTAATATATAGGAACAAAAGTTATAGGAAAATTAGAAGTAAAGAAAACGTAGACTAAAATATAAGATATGTTAAAACATAAAACTCAGTAAATTTATTTTAGATGTTTGTTGATACTCATTTTATTTATGTCTAATATATAATAACTAAGAAATCTAGGCACATTCAACAACAACATCCAAGCCTTAGTCCCCAAAAAATTTGGAGTCAGCTAACATGAATCGATACATTATATCAGAGCAAAAAAGAAACTAAAGAGATAAAAAGGAAAGGTATGCTAAAAAAGATGATACACACACATATACATACATCTATACATATATATAATTAGGTTCAAATAAGAAAATGATCTTAGGAGAGAAATGAGAATGAATTTGGACTGTTAGATTTGCTGTATGTGAAATTCAATGTGCATGAGATGAAACTACAATGTGCATTAGGTGAAATTGAAATGTGCAGCACAAAGGATACGATACAGTGTCAATAGGTAAAGCTGAATCATGCATTAAGTGAAATTGAAATGGGCACTAGGTGAAACTGAAATATACAAAATAAAAGGTACGATGTGATTCCATTTTTGTACGTTTTATTCTGCACATTTCAGTTTCACCTGATGCATATTTGAGTTTAACTTTTTATTCTGCACATTTCAATTTCATCTAAATTTCACATAATTTACATTTGAGTTTAACTTTTTATTCTGCACATTTCGATTTCATCTAATGAACATTTCAATTTCACATAAGTGAAATTGAAATGGACACTAGGTGAAACTGAAATATACAAAATAAAAGGTACGATGTGATGCCATTTTTGTACGATTTATTCTGCACATTTCAGTTTCACCTAATGCACATTTGAGTTTAAATTTTTATTCTGCACATTTCAATTTCATCTAATGCACATTTCAGTTCCACATAATACAATTCATTCTCATTTCTCTCCTAAGAGTTGTTTCTTACCAGACCCGCCGTGCGGACTTGCCAGTTTGAGGGCCTTCCCTGTGAAATTTTTTGATGACTTTTTTTGAGCATGATCCTCATCAAGTCTAGTTTATGCACATCAAATTTGAGTTCAAAATTCAACCGGTAAGACAGTTAAATAAATTATTGAAACATATAGCGCTTTATATATGTACATAATTCGCAGTATGTTTTAATAATTTATTTAATTGCCTTCCCGATTGAATTTTGAGCTAAAATTTGGTGTGTATAAACTAGACTTGATGAGAAACATGCTCAAAAAATTTTATCAAAAAATTCCACCAAAAAGGCTCTCAAACGGGCAAGTCCACACGGCGGGTCTGGTCAGGCGCGCCTGACCAGATCTGTTCTATATATATAGTAATGTTTCTGTCAGTCCGGACTGACCGTTTGAATGGCTTGCCGGTGAAATTTTTTGATGGAATTTTGTGAGCATGTTTTCATGAAGTGTATATTATCTCCACAAAATTTCAGCATAAAATTCAACCGGGAAGTCAATTAAATAAATTATTGAAACACTGCACAAAAATATGCATACAAAACACAGTGTTATTCAACAATTTATTTAACCGACTTCCTGATTGAATTTTACGCTAAAATGTTGTAGAAATAATCTACACTTCATGAAGAACATGCTCAAAAAAATTCATAAAAAAAATCCACCTCGAAGCCCCTCAAACGGGGTTGGCCGCAAGGCACTTCCGGCAGTCCGGTTGTATGTGAGTATCTCTCTCTCTATATATATATATCATTCATCATTCATTTTCATTTACCCCAGTGCTGCAAAGGCTCCCACCTACGGTGGGGTAAGGGGGGGTCGGATGTACGCAGTCTTACCCCTGTACTAAAGCACAGAGAGACTGTTTCCGGATGACCCATAGTGAAAATCCCGTCCAAAATTGCATGGACTGACTGCTGCTTCATAACAAAGAAGCGCAGACAGTTTAGTGAGCCATTTTGCTTTATTCCATCATAATCTCAAGCCAAAAAATAATGAATCTTTGGCTCCATTGCAAATGATGGAATAAAAGATAAAAGGATATAAACATAAGAAGATCCTAACATATTAGGTAATCCTAACATACCTTGAAGACGTGCACTTGATTCTGTGTGCATGATGATAGATAATTTTACTTTTCAGAGAGGTATTTGGCCAATTTATCTCTGTACCCCGGGAAGTCAGAGTTACCCTTTTTGCCTTTGAATACACAGGTATTTGAAGTGTTGATTGTGTTCTTTATTTTGTTGATTCAATTATTGTTGATCACCTATTTATACGTTCTTATATAGGAGGAATCACATTGTTCTTGCTTTATTTAAACTTTGGTACTGTGATATGTTGGTTTCTGTGTGTGATTTCTTGATCATTTTCATGACTCGTGAAAATGTTTCTGCTAATGATATATAACGTTTTCCTTAGTCTGTAATCTTGCAACCTGTTGGAGAAAAAGGAATTGCCATAATTGGTGGTAATGTAGTTCGCGGATTTACAACTTCAGATCAGGTAATAATTACCATTCATTTTTTTACCATCGTGTGTCAAATTTACTTGAGAAAGAAGACTGAAATCCACTATATCAACATTGAGCACATGGTGATGCTTTTATATAGAAATATCGCCACTTGTTGTCGCATGGAAATTAAGGCACTCCCGCCTGTTGTTGCAGACTTTCTTGTCTTCCATTTTAGGTGCATGGTTATTTTTGGTCCCTCGGGAAATTTAATCTTGCTAAACATGACCAAGAGAAAATGTGATTCTCATAATTTCCCTTCAAATGACAGTGATATCCAAATGCAAATGCAGGACTTGAATTTAAAGTGTGCTTTTCTAGCTGGATAAAATGCTGAAGATGATAGGAATTGAATGAATAGTCATGCACTAAAAGATAATTTAATAAACTTGTCTCAATGCCTTTCTTGTTGACTCGCAGGTATGGATCACTTTGATTGGGGAAAAATTAGATGCCACACTAGCAAAAGTTGTGGGTGATGACGTCTCTGCTGGAGGTCTAACAAGCATACGTAGTTAGGAGAGGTATATATTGCTTGCAGCAATCATGAAATGTGAAGACAAACCTGGAGAAATACTACTATGATATTCATGACATGGGTTTGTGAGTAGGATTTGGATTTGGAATAGGCTTGTTGGGTGATCTTCTTTAGCGCTGTATTAGTCATTAGTTGGGGGGACTTTCTTTGTTATCAGTGGAGCACAATTATATTTGTTGTATCGATGGATTTCTTATTAGTTATTTCGTTCCCTAGATAGAAGAAGAAATTGCTACTTTATCGTTTCAGCGAGGTAAAAAAACGCAGAAAATTAGCATAAAAATGTCAGGGGGTTAGTTTTTGGATTCCATGGTGTGTTTTTGGGATATCAACAAACCCCGTACACGTTTGTTCTATTCCTTTCACAGTCCGGTTCCTTTTTTGAAATATCAGAGGTCTTTGTTTACCAGCAGTGGTACTTGGCAAGGAAGCAATCCATCCATCTTGATACTGATTTCCCGTCCCAGGATGGTTACTAATAAGGGAATCATATAGGACTTCATTATGGAATCACATATCATACAGAGCATGTCTGTGGTAGCTCCTTATCATTCATTTATGTAGTGGGTTCTTCCATTATAAACCCACTCTAGAAATGAATGGTTATAAAGAAAACACAGACATATATGAATTCATCATACTCCGTAGTCCGTATAGGGATGGATTCGGGTCGGGCCCGGTCGGGCCGCCGGTTCAAGAAAAGTGGGCCCGGGACCGGCCCGAGGGTTGGACGGGTCCGGGCCACCCGCCCGGGTCACGGGTCGGGTCCGGTTTGGGCCGGGCCGGTTAATTTTTTTTTTTTATAATTTATATTTTATAGTTTATTGTTTTATACGAGTATTAAAAACAAACTTCAATTGCATTTATTTGAAATGAAATAGGAACTACATTTGAAAATTAAAACAAACTTTAAGAGAAACATTTTGAAAATTGTAATCAATCGGAACTTCCCGCACCTCCCGATCCTTTGGCTTTGTCACATGACTTCATATGCTTGATTGCCATCCCGAATCCGCCTGAAGCCCCCATGATACATTTTTTTCGCACCATTTGCAAATTGCCTACCACATCCCGGTCTTCGGGTCCTTCTGCTTATCAAAATTATACCGTATAATGGCATTTTGATTTTCCATCTTAACTTCTTGGAGAAGAGAATTAGAGAGTAGATATATAATATATTGGAGAATAAGAGAATTAGAGAGTAGAGAGTTAAGAATAGGATTTAGGAAGAATTGGAGAAAAGATATGAAAAAATGTTTAAGAGTAGGAGTATTTATAGGTTTTTTTACCCCCCACCCCCCACCCCCCCTACCAGCCAACCCCCCCGGACCCCCCCTTTACCCCACCCAACGGCTATATAGCCGTTTGGGTTGTCCCCAGCCCCACCCCCAAGGCCCCAACGGCTAGGCTTGGACTCGGGTCGGGCCACCCGGCCCGTGGACCGGCCCGGCCCGCTACTGTGCGGGACCAGGACCGGCCCGGTTCTCGGGTCCGGGTCGGGCCTAGGCCCGGGGGGTAGGGCGTGTCCGGGCTCGGGTCTGAATTTTGGTGAACCGGCCCGGCCGGGTCGGGCCCGGGCCCGGGCCAAATTGATTTTTTTTTATTTTTTTTTTCATTTTTGGGCTTCCACCCGGGTTGGGCTTGATGGGTAGGACCGTAGGATGGGTTTGGGGGGGTTTGGGAGGGGGGGGGGGTTAGGAAAGCAAAAAAAAAAAAAAAATCCAACCCGGAGGCCCGGCCCGGCCCGGTGGCTACCCGGGCCGGTCCCGGGTCCACCATTCTTGAACCGCCGGCCCGGCCGGGCCTAGGCCCGACCCGGACCCGGCCCGGACCCGAGTCCACCACTACCAACGGCTAGTAGCCAAACCAAACAAAAAAAAGTTTTTTTTTTAAAAAATAGACCCGGGCCCGACCCGCCCGGGCCACAAAAATCCAGAACCGAGCCCGCCCCCGCCCCTTCCCATCGGTTCGGGTCCATACCCGGTCCCGGACCGCCCGACCGGACCGGTCCCGGGCCCGCACAGTACCGGGCCGGGCCGGGTCACGGGCCGGGTGGCCTGAACCGAATCCATCCCTATGTCCGTATATGTTTCCTTGAATTTTTTTGGGTTGCTTATATGACTAGTAAAAAAAACAGTCTTGTGAGAAGAATCAGAAGGAATGTAAAACTAACTCATCTCTCACCCTAAACTTCTCCCGCATTATTTCAATCCCATTTGAAGTAAATATTATGTAGGGTTTTAGTATTTAATTTCGGTATTTCGTTGATATAGATTGCTTGAGGAAGGAAGGACTTCCATCACTAAACTTACTTTGCCAGTTGCCACTGCTTTACTGTTAGATAAAGGCAGCAGCAGCAAACTTTAAACTTATCAATTTCTGCTGCTCTATATTTCTTTTCATACCAAGCAGAAGTTGCAAATTCACAATAAAAACATAAAAAAGTAATCATGGTCGTCATTTCACCACTCTCGGGTATACAAGACAATACAAGAACTATCATCATATAACCAAAATGTTACAAACGTACAGATATATGCAAAACAAAAACAAAGAAACATATCTATCCTGACTGCCTATGGCTTCATCCTTGAGTCTGTAAACAACCTCTAAAAAATCTGACTGCTGAGCTCAATGTAAAATGTGGGAGAAAGAATGGAGAGAAAGAATCATAGCTAGCTGTTCACCATCATCATGAACCGATCTCCCAGGGCAGCGAAGCTGTGGAAGAACGAGCAGCAAAGTTGGCCAAAATGAAGTCCCGAAGGCCGGTATCCCAGACCTCACAGAACTGTAAACGCCAATTGGGGGGCTGAATGGCCTCCGTCCCCAACCCAGGCGCTCTATCCCTCGACCCTTCGTTTTGGTTCTCCTTCCAATCTACAACGTACGTCGCCACTCTCCTGAAAAACTTGGCCCTAAAAACCTCCCACACCTGGTACTTGTAGTGGTTTATGACCGCCACGCCCTGGGGCAGATCCAAGTACTGGAACCCCTTTCTCAAACGGAAATGGTGGACCACGTTCAGCAGCGTCGTGTCCAATGCATCCGGCCGCACGATCGACTTGTGCCTCTCTGGGTTCTTAAGCCTGCAGGTGTACCCCACAGTCACTCCCTGAGCCGGCGGCCGATCCAACCCAGACGGCCCGTAGCTGTGGCACACTGTTCTAATCTCTCCCACCAGCAACGACGGCGAAGAAGAGACAGTCATCACCAATTCCCGGAGGGCATTTTGAGAAGCGAACCCGGGCTTCCGGAACCTTTGACGTGCCGATGAATACGGAAGGTGGAAGAACTCATCAACATCCATGAAGGCAACCCAATTGCACTCCTGTTTGGCCCTAAGGGAACAATGCGAGAACCCAGCTTCCTGCGTCTTGATCCACGGCCAAACGTGCCTAGTCACGTTCAGGCTTCGCATCTCGGGATGGTTGATCAAGCCCTTGATCTCATCGTCGCTGTTGTTGTCATAGATGAACCACCTCTCCACACCGAGCCAAGCGTGGTATGTGATCCACTCACGCAGAGCGGACGCTTGGTTCCACACCATTGTACACACACAGAGTTCGCGCTTCTTTCCCCTTCCCTTGCCACTGGCTGATTCCAAGCTCGAAATCTCAGCCACAGAAGGGAAGACAACGCGGCGGCGGTTGTGTTCCTCTCCTGTGCGGACCCTGAGGGGAGATATCATCCCAATGGTCACACTACTGCCCAATGCTTTCTCAGGAGACTTGTTAATTCTCGAAGGCAAAGAGCACCTGATGATCTCCTGGGCAGCAGTTATCGCCCTAGTCCAGACCTCGACCCTCTTCCCCAACCAGAAACGGCAACTGAATTGGCTCGGATTTGATTCCCTGTCTGGCCTCAAATTCAACCCTTTCACAAATACCACTGCAGTGTCCCCATCCAGTGCCGCTGTGTAGACCAGTTTTGACCAAGAGGCAGGCGCCCCAGTCAGATTTCCAGCCCTAAAACCACCTTTCACACCCGTGGGTCTCCGCAAAGTTACCATGGCGGAATGGTTTGTGGGCGGGAGAGGGCATCTGAAAATGACTCTGGATTGATCATAATCATCCGCAGATGATATATTCAACGAAACTGCATTTCCTCCACTAGCATACGCACACTCCAGTTTTTCCTCAGCGGACACCCCGCTATTTGTAGCCAACAACAGAACATGATCCGGGAACAAAACCCGGCCCTCAATTTTGACCGGATGCAAAACACGACCGGAGCCTCGGAACGGTTCAACACCAGTACTCGAAGAAGAAGAAAGTAGGGAAAAGCTTGAGACAACCAATACGGGTCGGAAAGAGGAGGGAGTGATGGGGATTTTGAAGGAGAGAAGATAGACAAAGAGCAAGAAGCAGAAGAATAAGAGGAAAGACCTCACGGAGAGGAGATGGAGCAGCGGGGAAAGCGGCGTTGATGGCCTGAGGAGGCGCTTGCGCTTGCGGCGTTGCTCTGACGAGTCCATATTGGGTTCCTTCCAAGAAGAAGGGAATTGTGTTTTTCTGCAGTGGGTTAGTTATTTTCTGCTTTAGTTGGATCTGATGATGGAGTAGAGCAGAAGCAGCGGAAGTTTTTTCGTTTTGCTTCTGGCGAAGTTTTGATACGCGTTTGTTTGGATCAATAATTGGATTTCAAGATCAACCAGACAAGATAAATAACTTCAACTTGAAAATTATAAATGGCAAAACCGTGCTACGTGGTGTGTCTTGAATTTACCTTCACTAATGCATTTTTTTTAAGAATTTTGACAGAGTACTTAGAAATGTACCTCAATTTTTATCTCACACGTTAATGTGCCTCATAAATAGGGCAATTCATTTAAGTGGGGTATCATTTAAATGAATTGCTCCATTTATAGCCACACATTAGGTGGTGTGGGTAAAAATGTGGTACATTTTGAGGTACTTCTAACATCTGTTTTTTTTAAATCAAGAACCAAACATATTATTTCAAAGAAATAAAAATGTACGCATTATTCCGTATCACTTGGGATACATATTATTAAAAAGGGGAAATTTCCTCAAATCAGAATAATTTTTTTAAATTTCAAATTAAGGCTACTGTACTTTTATTCTCTGAGTAGAAGTAGTTAATGTTAAATTTGGTAAGTGCTGTCATATTTAGAATCAGGTTATACCAAAATATAATAGTAGTTACTCTTATTTATTCTCATTTTCTCTCTCTAAAAATAGGTCTTCTAATAATTTAGAGCCTGAGCAGATAATTCTCTTCACATTCTTTATCATGTCAACTTCTTTGGAGACATTATCGGCATTATACGATATTCTTTAATTTTTATTCATACCGGATGAGTTTCAAGCTTTTCATGACATGGATTACATGTGATATTTTCTCAAACAAAGTGAGAT